GCGATGAAGGATGCGGGCCCGCTTATACCTCCGGTCGTCGATGAACGCCAGCCGCTGACGCAGGACGAAATCGCCCTGCAAGCGCTCATTCGCGAGAGCAAAGGCGAGACGGAAGGTCGGACGGACTTGGTCATCGAGAGTGCCAAGCGGGAAGCTGACGAGGGATATCCTGTGCGACTCGACGAGACGGGTTCGTTCCGAGTTGATGTGGCTTCGCGGCCTGAGCCGGCGACCCTGGACCAGTACAATGCTATACCGGTGGAGGAGTTTGGTGCTGCCCTTTTGCGTGGAATGGGTTGGAAGGAGGGCCAGTCGATCGGGCGGGGGAAATACGGCACTTCTGCTACGGATGACAGGTCTCAGACACCACGGATACCCGAGCGTCGACCGGGCTTTTTGGGTATCGGGGCGAAGGACGTTTCTGGTGGCAAGGGCGCGGAGGCTGAGCTTGGTGCGTGGGGTAAGGCTGCAATGCGCAAAGGGGCTAGAAAAGCAGAGGCCCAGGGGGGTGAAGGCAATACGCAAGGTGTCTACATGCCCGTCCTGATGCGGAATAAGAAGACTGGTGAATACATCACGGAGGAAGAGCTCACAGCCTTGAAGAAGGAGGGTACAGCAAAGAAAGACGACGACTGGCGGGAAAGACGAGACCGCAACCTTGAAAAAAGCGGACGTGACCGAGATAGAGATAGAGACAGGGAAGGGCATTCTCGCCGGCGAGACTACGACGATGACGACAGCGATCGACCTGACAGACGAAGAACGGGGTCTTCACGGAGAGACAGAAGTTTGTCATCCAGTGATCGACAGTCCAGACGGCGGACGTACGACGATGAAGACGGCAGCGGGAGAGACGATCGGTACTATCGCGATAGAGATCGAGACAGGGACCGGCGCGATCGTGACCGCGATCGTGAGCGGGATAAAGACCGAGACAGGGATCGGGATCGGGATAGAGAGAGGAGTCGCGACAGGAGCAGCAGGTATCGGGATGATGACCGGTACCGCTCGAGGCATTCGTCCTCTCATGCGTCTAGCCGGCACGGACGCGACCGAGACAGCGATCGAGATTCTCACCGGAGAAGAAGACATGATGATTAGGGTCTGAAAAAACGTTGGGACAATGCTGCGGATTAGATAGACATATGCGAGAGAAGAATTGTGTACACCATAGTCGTGCTTATGTTGCTTTGTATGATACCCCTGGTGATTTGGGGATCCCGATATCACATTCTTTCTATAGGTGTTCGATGGATTATTCCCAAAACTGAGCTTGAAGAGTCAAAATTGCTTCAAGCCTGCAAAGATCTGTATTCAAAAGTATCCGAGAATAGATTCTAAGCAAGGAAATGCAGCAAATGTTTGAGAAAGAACAGAGACAATGGAATGCTTTTAGACTCCCTCGCCGTACAGGACGAAAATGGTATATGAAACAAGCGTACTCCGCCAGTGAAGCGCCAATTCATCATTCTCTATATACTTTATACATGAACAGCCCACGAGCGCAGCATCTTATACCCCCAACATGATGAAATCCTTTTCATGTTCAGGTACTTGATCACCATTGGCTTCGCTCGTGCTGGAAACGCCGAGGTCTCCCAGAAGGCCTACGCCGCCGTCCATCTCACCCAAAACCCATTCGACCAGGAAGCTCTCGTCCGTCAGCTCCTCGATACGGCGATAATGTCTGTCAGTGTATGCGGCCAAAGCCTGCAGGATATCCTTCATGCCTGCGGCGGTGCGACGATCACTGCCTCGCGTTGCCATGCTGGAGGTTGCCAGCTCCACGAATGTTGAAGCAGGATATGATCTGAACAAAGCATATAAGATTCGCTGTGCCACTCGAGAAGTGCGCGCGTTAGTGTTCCAGTCACGCAATCGGAGCAGAAGAAGGCGGAGATTAGACGGATCGAGGGATTGAAGGACCTCATCGATCGATGCGTCACCAGTCAAACTGTTGACACGCTCGTCTTTGTCTGAGTCTGATGAGTACGGATTATCCGCAGCATCGATTGCGGTTGTGAAGATAGATAAGAGTCGTGCGGGATGGTTAAGCTGAAGAGCTAATGTGATAGCTTCGCGATAAGCCCCTGCTCTAATGTAATTCTGCAACTGCTGATCTTGCTCAATGCGGGCAGAATTGGCGCTGACTGCAGCAGTGTAAGTCGCAGAGGTGGTATCAGTCCAAAAGGTGACGGTGGAATCAGCCGAGCCGGAGGCGAGCGCGTACGGAGTAGCGCCTTTCTGAGAGAGCGACGATTTGACATCGGCACGGGAGCCGGAGGGTGTAGGGCTCGCTAGTGCCCACACTCGATCCTCGTGATTGTCGAGGGTGGTCTCGACCTCGCCGGTATAAGGCGACCAGATCTTAACCAATCCGTCGGCAGCCGCAGATGCGACTAGGGGTTTAGGCTGGGCAGCGATTTTGCGCGCCGAAGCATCCGCATCTTCCTCTGCGTCTTCAGCTTTGGTGGACAGTCCTGAAGGCGGGAGCCAGATGACTTTCAGCACACTGTTTGTGTGCCCTTCAAACGTCAAAAGACAGCTGTAGTCAGACAAACTCCAGAGCTTGACGGTCTTATCTCCAGAGCCTGTGGCAATCAGGCCCCTGTTGGTACTGCTTTTGGTGTCGGCGCTGATGATGGGAGTGTCTTTGGGGGCAAAGCGGACAGACCAGACTCCTCTCTTGTGTCCGCGAAGGACACCAACAACAGAGCCATCTTCAGTGGACCAGATTTTCACAGTCCGATCCTGCGAAGCTGAAGCAAAGAGTGTTGATGAATGGTTGATGTCAAGGGCATTGATGTCTTTTTCGTGGGCTTTTCGGGTATAAAAAGCCTTGGGTGTGTGCGGTTTCGACGAAGTGAGGGGAGCTAGCTTTCCAGTCTCCCATCGCTTGATTGTACGATCTTGAGAGCCTGTCAGAAGGAACGAAGGTGGATGGTTCAAGGGGTCATTGTGTGCGGGTGTGTTGACTGGGGGAGGCACTCGAGGAAGACTGATAGCTCCCAGTGACTCTGCATGACCGGTGAAGACTGCGAAACATGTATAAGATGATGCCTTAGGATCAAGACGCCAAAGACGGGCTGAGTTATCTTTTGCGCCAGTCGCCAACCAATGTCCAGACCAATCTACATCAATGCATATGATAATATCGTCATGACCCTCAAGATGTGCGACATCGGCACCGAAATATTCACGGTTTTGGGTCGAGGGACGGTCCTCAGACGGAGCGACTGATATAATGCGAATGTTTTCCGTGTTGGTGGCAAGCGCCAGCATTGATCTATCGGGACCGACATATGCCAAATCGATAATATCGTCGTCATTGCCTGATATGCGCCTGACAACTGCCAAAGGATCCAGTGTGGAACCCGGCTTAAAGGCGGACAAGGACTCGAGTGAATGAAGCCTCAGGGTCTGGTCTGCATGAACGGTCATAGCGAACTTCATACCAGGGAAGTAGTGGATGGCCACAACCGCCTCAAATTCAGGCCCAGCTTCTTGCTCTTTGGTCACCTCTCCTCCGCGGTTGCAGTCCCAGACGCGCAATTTGCCATTTTCACCTGCCACCATGCACAGCCCACTTTCGGCGACAAATGTGGCAGCTTCAACACTTTCGAGCACGGGAATGATTCGCCGCGTTTTGAAGGTCCTCACGTCCCAGACGATAACGGTCTTATCTCGAGCAGCAGATAGCAATGCATTCTCCGAAGGAGAGTATGACAAGCTTCGTACTACAGAGACGTGAGACTCAAGGGTTGCCACTGACTTTCTCTTGTTCAGATCCCACACTCGAACCTTGCCCTCTTCGTCTCCCGAAGCAAGTCGGAAGCCCACCGCGGAGTCGGATTCGGCCATGTCGTCGTCACCGTCCAGATCCACGGACTTCTTCTTTGACTGCTTCTTTTTTGAGGAAGGCTTTGTGTCACCATCCTGAACTGGGACCTGGAAAAAGCACAGGGCTGATATAACACCGCCATGACCATGGAAGGTATGTGTGATATAGCCTCCCCTAATGTCCCAGACTTTGATCGAGCCATCTGCAGCTCCGGTTGCGAGTAGTGTACTAGTTGGGTCGACTGTAGATGTCACGACAGGTGCGGTATGTGGTTTCAAAGTTCGGAGAAGAGACGTCTCAATCGTTCTGGAGGTTTCGTCGAATGGTGTTAAGGCATAGATTCGCATTGACATGGACCGTGAGCAGACGATGACATGGGAAGCCGATGGAGAGACTGGTAATGTTGTTAGTCCCACACTTCAAAGACCAGGCTGGTGGCAGGGAAAATGGGAAAGGCAAACACGTACTTGCTAAGCTAGTGATGATTTCTCCATCCTAGCAATTCTGGGTCAGCGACTTGCGACTTGGTCACTCTTGGGTAAAAAGTCCAGACTCACACCTTCAAGACTGGCAAGCTGGTCGCCAGTCTCAAGATCCACAATCAATGCATCCTCGCCGACACAAGTCACCAGTAACCGACCACTGGCATCGAGCGCCGTACTTCCTCCGGTATATATGGGACGAAGCGTGCGAGACGCCTCGAAAGTCGTCTTGACAACAGCTTTAGACATGATTCTTGGTGGATTCGAAGTTGATATTGCAAGGGGACTAGCGCGCCATCATACGTCCAGAATCAGCCCAGTAACACACAAATTGAAATGCTTCTCGTCGTTCAAAGCGACATAGGACTGTGCTGTTTCCAGAAACTTTTGATCTTTTTCCAGGCTGTTTGTTCTGTTTGTCAAATGGACAGAAAAAAAAGAACGATAAACGTTGGTCCGTGCACCAAGCGCAGTAGCCGCCATCAGTGCGCACGTGATCAGCCCTCCCAATCTATCAATATGACACTCTCGACCATCTTCATCACAGTTGTAACAATCAGGGTCCATTCTTTTCAGGACAAAGCTCTTGATTTCGACTTATTTTGAAGAATAGTGATGCCGAACCATGGGCTCATGTCTTATTGACGCACAGGATCAAGTTTTATTTGTAGCTCACAATGGGGCGGCAGGCTTATAGAAATCGACTTGCTCTGGTAGGCTTGAATCTCATATTTCATTCGTTGTAGTCTTTCTGCAGACAATATTACCTTGAAGCCTGTTAGTTGATCATCGACTTGTCACCTGTAACGACCTTTGTTTGGCTTTGCTGAAAGAAGACGTCCGACACTAGCCATGATCATGTGTTGGTGTTTATGTATTCTGTTGGAAGATACCTGATGATCAAGCAGGGCCGGTCTCCGTACGAGCCCCCCGAGCCTCCTGTGGGCGCCGCTGCTGATGCATCTGGCCGAGTTCACCGGAGGGCTTCCGCTGTCCATGCGGACGGATACATTCAGCATTATGACGAACGAGGGCATCCGATAAACCCAGATTCTAAGAGCTTTGGCAGGGAGTTACGAAGAGCTAAGAATGACATCCTTTCAACAATGGGGATTGTCGTAAGTGAAGACCGGAATGCTGGCGCCCCAAACGAGCAGCAGAAGATCGATACGATTGCTGCCGAAAACGACTATGGACTGATCATGGCCACTTTTGACCAAGTCGCTGTCTTCATCAGTTCATGGTGGACCTCGTCGTTGACAGGGCGAATACAGGTAAGTACTGAGTCCTACCGATATCTGAAGCTTTGAAAACCTATCTGATTGGGTACATCGTAGGCATTCAAGAGCTACACCAATGTTCCTCTATTGGGTATCATAAGTCGTGAACGCTCATCTATGGGAATAATGGGATTTTACTTCTCCGGAATTCCTGCATGGGCAGTGTCTACTTGTCTATCTATCTGTCGCCATCATCCCCTTGATCGCATTGTTGCCTCTCTGCAGAACGAGCATCTCGGTGATGACCCCTGGTCGCGACTTGTGCGGGCCTCGCTCAACATATTTCATTCTGCGTAGGTGTCTGATAACAAGTTGGATGTCTGTAACTAACTCTTTTGGCAGGGCGAGGGGCACTCTGCTTGTCTTGGCATTGCAGACATATGTATACTCATTACTGCAGTCCCTGCATCTAGTCCAACCGTACTCTCTTCCGGGTATTCAGTTCCTTTTCCCGATAGGCAACTTGACGTCAATGCATTTTCCGCCTTTGCCTACTGAGCTCTCCTTCAAACCCATCATCGACTTTGCGCTGGGGTTATCCAAGTCTCCTTCTCTTCTCGTCTATCTCTATGTATACCTGCGGCCCGTAATAGAAATAAGGATCTATCGCTTGATCCGCCGAAGATTACCGAAGCCGAGCCTTGCGGATGAACTCTCCATCAAAGTGGCGTTCGAAAATGATCTGTTAGATTGGATGGTACCAACTCTTGGACGCAGATCAGAGGAAGAGAATCGCCGCAGTAATCTGTCTCTTACAGACGATGTGATTTACGAATTGTCTTCTTTCAGAGACTGGATGTTGTCGTTGGTTCGTCTTAGGCCACGTCGGGAACCTACAGAGAAGGCGAGCTCGTCACTTAGGGACGGGCGGGTAGATCCTCTACGTCTGAACATGGCAGACCTACAAACAGAGCTCAATTCTTCGCATTACCGGTCTTATTTACCCCAGGAAGAGCATTTACGGCCTACCGCTTCTCCTGAGGAGCTGGCTCTCCAGGATCATGCTGAAGCTGCGCAGTCCGGGTCTTCTGGACTAAATGTTTCCACACAGGGGCATGGCCAAGATGCAGACTATAACGAAAATCGGGTCCTATCCGGTGAAGACGATCTGATTTCTCAGTCGCCCGCCGAGTTGAGCACAGGTTTCTCCTTGGAGGCAGCTACACTAGGGGAACCAACCACCATCTCTTCTGCTGTAGATTCATCCAACCCATCGGCAGATACTCATCGCCCCTTTGAGCAAGCTCAGAGCCGGCTCAACTCACGATCCGATACCCTTCTATCTCGGCGGTCGTCTCCTGCAACATCTCCTCCGACCTCACCACGTGTCCGAGCATCGTTAATCCATCAGAATTCGGATGTCATCACCATGCAGCTAGAAGTCTTGGGAAACCGTAATACTCACAACCAGAGTCCACAGAATCCAAGAACTGCCAACGAAATCGATCGGTCCGACTACAATGGAGCGCCCGCAGACCGTAGGTCAATTCAGGATTTCCTGGACAATCTTCTAGCGAATCAGGGACAAAGTCTCGCTACGGTAGCTGGGTCAGAAGCTGTAGACAGCGATGGACTTTCTAATATGACCACCGCACTGTCTCCTGAAACCGGTGACGGTGCGTCAAGTATTCCATTACACGATCAAGCTCATGGTCAGCGCACATTAGATGAGCAGCCTACGCATGTTACTCCCGCCACGCAACCGGTCACAACACTCGCCAACATTCTACCAGACAGCGTGGAAGAACCAAGCCAGGACGACAATCTTGAGCCGACCTCAGACGCGGACGTCCTTCATGCCGGTACTTCCGATGGGGAGCTGCCACCGCCACTAGTAGACGCTCTCGCTTCTGGTGACATGCCAGCCGACCCCTCCTCTGTCCCACACCGCGTCACAATCCTTTCCTGTCATCCAGTCGACTCTCTTGCTTCACATCTCGCCTCTATTATCACCACTGCGCTCTTCATCCCCCTCGAGTCATACTATTTGCGTTCCCTCGCCTCTTCCTATCTGTCATCCGTAGGGTCCCCTCGACGTTCCGACGTCCGTCCCCTCGGAGCATGGGGCGGAGGTGGCTCTTCTCTGGATATAATGGCATACATGGGCAAGATGGCCCTGATGGTTGGCCTGCAAGCTGCAGTGAATGCAAGTGTGTGGGGGGTGATATCAGGCGCTGCAATCAGGATCGGCAAGCGATTCTGTGGTTGGGGAAATCTATGAGCTTGCTGATCCAATACTAGTAGTCGGCTTGTCACCTTGCCATAGACAACCATGACCTAACTTTAATCCTCCTTTTATGCGGAGAGCGCTGCAGGGTGTAAACCGTGATACGGACTGATAACCCTGTAGCTTTCATTACAGTGTGCTACATACTGGTGAAGCAAAAAATAAGCCACATGGAACATGGTCACCATCGTTATATCATCACATCTAATGGTACAATAGTATCTCTCCAAGCGAGTGCTGTATCAGTATATCTTGCACATGCGACTTCATCTACCGCAGCCGATGTTTCTGAATAAATCACTGGCTTCACTCAGTGAGGAACTCGTCTCTCACTTGGCCGCGCCCTTGCCCTTCCGGTTATTCATACCAGGGATCTTTCGTCGCTCCCAGACCATCAGATAGCCTTCCCGCGTAAACAGAGTCTCACTTTCAGCCTTCTTGACAAATAGATCTTGGATCTCCAGCCAATCAGGTCCTTGCTGTTCCCCAGCACCTTGGCTTTGGTGCCGTCTGTTCTCCTCTGCCATGGCCTTGTCGTGGAGCTGGACAAGCCAGGCCACCCTCTCACTGCCAGCACCGGCGCCAGCCGACGACGTTCCGCCCGCAGCGGTGAGGCCCTTCTCTGCAGCATCCTCAGTGGCACCTGGTGCTGCCACAGTTGGATCCAGGATAATGTTGGCAACGAGATCATATAGAATCGGTTCGCCAGGCGGCCAGATTTCCGGGTTAGGTTCCACGTACGGCGACATATCTAGAGAGCGCGGCGACGGGAAAGTGACAATAGTGGGATTGCGCTCAGAGACAAATCGGTTCTTGCTGAATCGTTTGATGTGGAATAAGAGATAAGGGGGAAGAGGGTGAAGAAGGCGATGTCGGACACGGTGAGCCAGCTTCTCGGAGGCAGTAATACCGTTGTACTTATTTAGAAGAGTTGTGAGGGGCACATGGGGGATGATGGATTCTCGGTTCGCGGATTGAAACAGGGGTGTTGGCGGAAGATCCAGAGTTAGAATGAGGAATGGGGTGGTTTGGCTATTAATGGTGCCTGATTCGGTGAAGACCAGACGAGCATTTTGCGTATCTGAATGCGCAGTAATGGCTTGACTTTCAATTCTCAAATGACCTTGGAAAGCAGCCTGTATCACACTCGTCGGGGTCGACGATGGTTTCTTCGAACCACCTAGGGAAAGGTGTAGATTGTTTAAAAACCAGGAGAGGAATTCTACAGGATCCGATTGTTGGGTAAGGGTGAAGCGCTTCGACGACCGGAGTGCAATCTCCTGTAGCAACTCGTGTGGAGAAACATGCGAGCGGAAAGCCTTGGGATTCCACAGTTTGCGTACCAATGTGCTGAAACGAAGAACCAATTCCGGCGTACCTGGTACAGGAAACTGATGCAGCAGGAAATAGTTACGAATTGGGAAAACGTGAGCCAAGACCTGGACGACGACATTAAGATAATCGTTGGCTTTGATGTTGTTCATTCCCACGAAGCCTATCAGGGGAATCAGATGCGTTAATTTGTGCTGAAAATTTTCAATAGAACTGAAGAAAAGACTTACCAGGTCTGTAACGATTACCTGCAAGATCAAAAGCATCATGAACTTCTTTATCCAACTTAGAAACCTCCTCTTTTGAGTAGTGAGGATCTACCACATATTTGATATCATCCAAACTTTTGCTCTTGACTTCATATCCTTCAGGAAGGACATAGACCTTCTTTGTCGATATGTTGATGAAGACATGATGTCCAACTTCGAGAGCGTGAAAGTACGCATATGACTTGGGACCCCGGCCCTGGAAGTATTTGCCGCATACGAGGCAGGCATACACGTTGATATTCGAAAGACTGACGGAGCACAGCTTCTCAAAGTCAAAATCGAGAATTTCGCGATTGATCGTGTCAAGATAGAGGTCGCTGTAGCCTTCCATAGGTTCACTTTGGCGTTTCGGCGGTGCGATGACTGGCCGGTCCTCGTCGACATCGGACGATTCGGCAACTTCGGCGTCCTCTGGAATTGCCTCTTCCATCTCTTCTTCTTCATGATCAGCTGCTGCAAGGATATTTTGCCCTTTGCGTTCATGCTCCTCCATTTCCTGGCCACTGGCTCGTCGCAAAGGTAATGCTCCGTTGCGGGGGTCGCCTTCTTCAAGCTCGTCTTCCACACGAGCCTTCTTCGAAACAGGAGAGCCTACTGCAGGCTCGTCCTCGAGTGACAGTTCTGCCTGTCTTTTCGACATCGTAGCCGTGAAATTAACAGTTGAGTTGAGAAGTCACGGAGATGGAGCTGGTTTTCCGAAACCATCGCCGGGCTAAGCTCTAAAGACGCGACAGATCAGAGGTGCAAACATGTCAAACATGCAGCGTCACCAATGCGCATCCCGTTATTCAAGAGTTATCACGTTCTACTCAAGCGGATATTCTGAGTTCAGGAGAGTAAGTATCGACTTTTGAGTCATTTCCATTGGTCCCTATCAAGAGACACATACGTGCCCAAGTCATGGAAAATACCTGCCATGCATCCCGGTCTTCAAAAGCAAATCAGTGAAAAGACAAATCATGGTATGATACAACGCCGTCATTCCAAGTGTGAGATTAAGCACTCTTGACTATTCTATCATTATCGACCTCTACTTCCTTGACACCATCCTTGGTCACGACCTTTACAAGAACCTATATGGAGTAAGTCAGTAGCTGATGCTTGCAAAAGCCAATACCGCTGGGTTGTAAGTTGGGAACGTACGCCCTTGTAATCGATTGGTAGTCTGCGCTTGAGCTCGTCTGTGCACATCTGTAAAAGGTTCATTCCCTGTTCGAGGGAGATATCGGGATGATGGTGTTTGTCGAGGATCGATAGGCAGTAGTACCTAACACATTGTCAGCGCCCTTGCTTTCAACGACCACTCGTCGCCCTCAATGTCGACACTTACTGAGCATAACCGTGTGCGGCATAGGGTACTCGGGCAAGCGCAGACAAGTAGTCAATCCAATACAGGTGAGGTTCCTGTGTGATGGAGTCCACTCCGCCCAGCAGGAGGTTGACCGTGTAGGGATTCCGCGATCTCAAACTGCGAGCCAATTCTCCTCTGACGAAGTTGGCAACGGCATTCGGACGCAATTCAGTGTCGTTCCTCATAGTGTATAGCGCAACATTAGCTTGAATGTATTCGGCGAATTGCACTATCCGCAACGATCGTTAGCTGTGCTGTGTTGATGTCATTCGTTGCAATTCATCTCTACGGACCTGTATCTCCTGCCTCTCCTGAAAAAGCCATAAGAGTGTGCTGGCTCAATTGCCGTGTCTTGTCATCTTCTGCTTTGAGAATAGTCGGCCCTCTCATAGCGGCTTTGGAAGCCGCCAGGATGACGAAGTCCTTGCCGGTGATACCTAGTAGAACCTCCCTAAAAGCAGTGGTTAGACCATAACCTCTTGGGAATTTTGAATTCTAATCTCACATATTGATAGTAATCTGTCGTAGGAAGGGGAGACGAAAATGAAGAATGAGGACAAAAGAGGATGGAGGACGATGGAGATTGTAAGCTGATGAGCTCACCTGAAGCCGCGCGAGCTCTCACTGCCTGGAGCTTCTGCGTTGTTGCGGAGCTGGTCGCTTACTCAGCATTTAGGCGTAAATTCTTCTCCGATCCCCGAGGCCGCCCTGGTGCACAGACCAGCGGCAGAAAAAAAGAGCGACAAGAAATTATTACTTGCGGCCAGCACAAAAGACGGCCGGCATCTCTTACCCTAATACTTCATTGTCGATCACAAAGTTGCTATTGACGGATAATTTTGCACGGTAATTCTCAGATACGACTGTGCGATGTCGTCCTTTTTTACATTGCCCGCTTCACAGCGAAAGCGGAAGAGAGACGACCGCGCCGCAGCTCCGGCATCAAAAAAGCGAGGTGTAGATGCGGACGGAGATTCTGGTGCGAAGGGAAAGAGCAGGACGAGAGAAAGAGATCAGTCTATTTCTGGCAGTGACCTAGACGATGACGACGAGAGCGTGGCGTCGGCAGTATCCGAAGAGGAAAGTGGTTCGGAGTCTGAGGATGGCGAGACGGCAGCAGAGAGAAGATTGAAACTCGCTGAGAGGTATTTGGAAAATGTGCGAGAGGAGGTGGACGACTATGGCTTCGATGCTGCTGAGATTGATCGAGACTTGATCGCCGAGAGACTAAAGGAGGATGTGGTATGTACCGCCTCTTTATTTTTTCTTAACCCACCCGTACTGCGCAAATATGTATTGGATAGACCAGATGGCTGACGCTCAAGAAGGATGAATTTAAAGGACGCTCTTATCGTCAGATAGCTTCAGAGTTAGCATTTTCGACGGCGACACCATCGTTTTTCCGCGCAGATACCCAGTCGACAACTTCAATCGCAGTACACCCGCCTTACGTTTATACAGTGTCAAAAGACAAGACGTTGATCAAGTGGGAACTCGCAACGCCGAGTCACGCTTCCGCAACGGTTCCGGCGACAAATGGACAGAATGAGGGATCTAAGCGTCCTGCAAGGCCTCAACGGAAAAAGCCAAAGCAAGTGAAGTTCGCTCGGGGATTAAGAAAAATCGCAGAGACCGGCGAGGAACATGGTCATACCAAGGCTATTCTTTCAGTAGCCGTGTCGCCTTCGGGCAAGTTCGTGGCTACTGGTGGAGAGGACCGGAAGTTGATCATATGGGATGCTGCTACGTTGACACCAATGCAGACCTTCAGCCAACACCGCGATGCAGTTAGCGGGCTCGCTTTCGTCCGACACATCTCCACTATGAGCTCCGGTGAGCAGTTATTTTCCGGTTCCTATGACAGAACCATCAAGACATGGTCATTAAGTTCGGCCGGCCATGCCTACGTTGAAACCCTGTTCGGGCACCAGGACAATGTATCGTCAGTCGCCGCCATGACTCTCGATCAGTGCATCAGTGTTGGAGCACGCGATCGCACCGCTCGGTTGTGGAAGGTCGTCGAAGAAACACAACTGGTCTTCCGTGGCGGATCATCAAAAAACACCTATCAGGAAAGTACCATCGACTGTGTGGCACCTCTACCCCCAAGCCATTTTGTCACAGGCTCAGATTCCGGCTCCATCTCCCTCTGGTCCATTCACAAGAAGAAGCCTCTCCACACCATCCAATGCGCTCACGGCTTAGACCCTCTACCGCCACTAGACGAGCTCTCAGCTGAGGTCGATCAGAAACTCGCTGACTCAAACTCCCGTTTCCTGCGGCGCATGCCCCGCTGGGTCACGGCTTTGGCAACAGTTCCCGGCACTGATATCGTTCTTAGCGGCAGCTGGGACGGCTTCATCCGAGCCTGGAAGGTTTCCGAGGACAAGAGGACAATCATACCGCTTGGCCCCGTCGGCGGAGGAAAGCTCGGTTCTGCCGCACTGGACACGCCGTCTCGACAGCTCAAACAAACCCTCGAGTTTAACACAGCCGCCGACGCAGACACCATGTCCGTTGACGAACCCCAGAATCAACCCACCGAAGACAGCAAGGAGGAACCTGAGCCTCTCATCAAGGGTGTCATCAACGATATCGCCGTCTTTGAGCGTCGTGCCGACACAGCCAAACCCGGCCAAGGCCTGGCTGAATCCAAGACTAAGACCAAGTTGTCCGAGCCCGAGTCCCGCGGTCTCTGCATCGTCGCTGCTGTGGGGAAGGAACACAGGTTTGGGCGCTGGAAGTGCTTTGCGAACAATTTTCACGAGGGATCTGCAGCTGATGGCCGCAACGGCGCCGTTGTTTTTGAAGTTCCCTTTATTTCCGACATCAAGCAGTGATTGGAACACACATTTGCTGAATGGGGCATTGGAGCATGCATTTTGCATGCACGCCTTTATCATGAGGTCATTGGTTGCAGAATTGAAGTTCCGGAACCCACTGAAAATAAATTTATGGTATCGAAAGCCTCGTATACCGCTTCGATTTCTTTGCATCTTCTTGTACTGGGAAATAGTCCGGCGTTCGGTACGTTCCCTAGCCTTCAATGTACATAAATCAACCACACAGGCCATGAGAAACTATTCGAGGCAGTATCCCTTCAGGAATTTCAGCCATAATATGGGCCCGAGTTGCTTTTTTTTCGACGTGCCATGGACCCTCCGTAAATTTCATAGCAGTGCCTAATAATTGCCGACTGGACAAACTTACTTTCCTCTACGAGTAAAGACAACTCCAACAAATTCATGAACCCTCTTTTGAAATGTTCGCTAGATAAGGGCTATGGTAACTGCTATGAAGACCAAGTATGAGCACAGCTAAGAATTGGCCTTGAAAATGACGGGAAGGGGTATTGGAAATGAACCTGAACAATAAAGCCAAAATCACGCCTCGAATGCTAAAATAGATGTCCCTAGACCCTGATCCGATCTTTTACTCCCTCCCATGAGTGAACAAGGTAAACGCATCGATTGTATGATGGTTCCGGAATGCCGGAAATCGTTAATCATTGAAAAAAACCCATAATTTTATGGTCGGCGCGAGTGAAAGCATCGCAGTAGCATATCCATGGTTATGGTTCCTCTTATTATTTGCGCTGCACCCTTGCAAGCGAACACAGCATGCAACTCTGTCGGAAGGATGGAGCGCGTCGGTGGAATCGTTCATGAAGTCGCAAGCCAATCTCATCAATGGAACTGCTCCATCCGGATGACAATGGATTGCTCAGTAGGCATGGACCCTACAACCTCTTCTGTTCCTTGCCCGCCGTGACGGACCAACGGGGCCCTCGTCAGAATCATCTTCCACGTTAATCGCATTGTAGGCCGATGATCCCGCAGTAGACGCTTGATTCCCATGAGATGAGGTACCACGACGAGCCGAGTGGGAAGTCCTCGTGGTAAAAACACGCGGGGGTGACGACCCATGTCTCACTGATATCACTACTTCATCGTACGATGGTTCCCGACGACGACGGTTCGCGTTGACGGGTGGCCGTACAGGCTCATCATCGTCATCACCGTCGTCGTCGTGTCCATGTTGCTCGTCGTGGTCCAGGACGCTGGATCCAGTTGGCGTAAGGTCGTTCAAACTATCCTCATCATCACTAGTGTGTGTCATTGAAGAGTCAGTGTCCAACTGTGACACGTCGTAGTGCGCTCTATTGCGGGCCGGACCACCGACGACGGTAGATATATCTGAATCAGAGACATAATCGCGGCCGGCATGTTCGTCGTCATCAATAAAAGAATCCATGTCGGCATCCTCATCCGCGTCATCATAGTCGTCGATCTCCGAGTAGTCAAGGCTTGCTGAGTCGACGGAAGGGAGGCGTTGAATTTGGTTCCGAAGCGCGGGAGTCAAATGGTGGAAAAGTTGGTCGAGATCCCAACCATTGCGGTAGCCACCGCCAAACCCGACTTCAACTTCGTCATCGTAGTAATCAGTCATCTCAGAATTCTCGTCCTCTTCGGTCCAACCCGTCACCGAATCGGAAGCGTCCGATACTGATTGATCGTCTCGAAGGTATCCACATTGTGCGCAGCCGGCATCATCTTCAAGTTCCCAAGAACAGCGTGGGCAGCGAATGACATTATCTTCAACATCGATGATGGGCGCCTGACGGATTGGCTTATTGAATGTACCCCGGAACAACCCCCCTTCTCTTGGATGCGTATTCCTTCTGTCGCGCTCCACTTTCTCAGCTTCCTCACGCTGAGAACGCTCATGCTGAGCTGTTGTCTCGTTTTTATCCAGGAGCTCTGCCCGACTCGTGAACATCTGGACAACTGAACGAATCTTCAAACCGTAATATTAGCGCAAGAGTCTTGAGGACTAACATTGTTCAAAAAACAGAGGGCATCTCACCAAGTAGGCAGGCGCAGGCTGGCTCTTTACCGGCGCTCGACAGTCGGGGCATGTTTTGTTCGATCTTCCCGAAGTAAACCATGATGACAAGCACTATCCCGAATGTTAGACATTTCGTCCGAATAATGGGGAACTTTGACCAAAACTAACAGTGTAACAGAAGGTATGCCCACACGCGATTGTGAAAGGTTCATAAAGTGGCTTAACACAAATACCACATTGTAAGAGAGATCTGATGTCGTCTACATGTCCCTGTAGCGTTTGAACGAGCTGTGCGAGGCTATTTTAGCATCGGCCTAGCGGTGACCTTGGGTAATTTCAAATTGAGTCTACTTACTCCTGATGCGCCGTCCCCCAATCCATTTGTCGAGTTAGTCGAGTTTACATTATCGGGGCCGATGGTGGACCTGGCTTCCGCGGTGGTAGAAGGCGACATTGCTTGATGGGCTAATATTCTCCCCAGGAGGAGAAAGATGTCGATATTGCTCCGAAAACCCCTGCAATGACGAAGGAAACACGGGTGCGAACAACCGCGCGAGCGAGATTGCAAATACTGCGACAGTGGCAAGATTCGGGGTTCTCTTGTCGGCAAAGCTTCAAAAATGCGGCAGCCACCTTTTTGTCTGAAGTATAGAAGGGTCCGGTCGGAGGAGGTCAGATCCCAATGGCGAACCGCGGGACGATCCCTCGAGGATTCGGTGATTCGTCCCAGCGAAGATTGGACGATAGAATAGCTGGAAGAAAGCGAAGGGAAAAGAAGACTTGAGCAAAGGAGATAAGCAGAAGCAGAAGACGAAGAAGAAAAAAAGTTCGTGGTCGATAAACCACGGTCCTTCAGCCAGGACAGGGCGACGTGAGCATGACTTTCTTTTTCGGAAGTTCCGCGCGCAAACTGAACAAACACCGCGTCGGACAATAGGCGGCAGGTCACCTGACTGCGCATTCCAATAAACTCGATGTGATGGCTCAACTACCCCCTTTCGACACCTCACAATCCATCAATCAGTAGTCAATCATCTTTGACCCATCTTCATGTGCTCGTCTGATTGTCGCTGGTTTCCGGTTCCTGGCCTGAATATGACAGCTATTATCCAACAATAGCAGCGTGGGCCTCTGAATTGACAATGACACTTCAGTCCTTGAACATACACAAGAGCAAATAGTTTAATAAATAATAAGATAAGAAGCAAGACGGTGTACTCGTGAATGGCTGTGGCCTAATCTCACCTGGTGGTGAAGGGCATTGTTATGCGGCTTTAATCATTCAACAAGCCTGCCATTGTCTCCTTCTCTGCTCTGAATCGAACTAGGCTGCTCAATAGGCATATGTTGAGGTGTTTGTTTTTGAGCCAGCCTACCGAGCAGTCATATGTTATTAATATTATCAAAATTGGCCTCCTCAGTATTGTCAGCACTTTGGGGAAACAGCTTGATGTGCTGCATTCGGATTGATATTGGCTAACGTGCTTAGACTCGTCACAATTTTTGATGCTACGACTTGCCTGCAACAAATATTGTCATGAATTGGGCACCGGCTATCATGAAAAGTCATTGGTAAAGACATCACGAAAGAGGAGATAAATGCAGGTCAGCAAATAACCAAGACTCGGAAGCATTGCGATCTGCAGTACTAGCCAGGAGTAAGAACCGCGAGACTAGACTCAATAACCTACTGGGTAACTGTCTTAAGCTGCTTGCCCCAGAGTACTGAAGGGCGACACAGGGAACTGAGTCTTGGAGCCTAATGACAAAGGGGATGTGCATGTTCCACTGCAGCGTCAGCCTACTCTGCCGCAGCGAGCTCACGTTTCTTGGACTGCTTCAGTTTCAGATCTTCTGAAATGAGGTGGCTGTCGCCAGTCACGCCTTTGATGACCTTGTCCTCTTCAACGATCTCTCGGTCCATGTGCTCCAAGAATTCTATTTGTTCATGAATGAACTGCTTCAGGAATCCCGTGTTGAAGCGGCAGTTTGCACGCTTCCGGTCCCGCATGTACTTGTTGACTTCCCTGAGACGATCTTCGAGAATCTCAAAGCGGTATTCTGCAAACTGATGATACAACTCGCCAAGGTCAGAAATCGGTCTGATAGTGGTCAGTACCGTGTGGTCGGGAATCGCCGGAGATCGTGGGCGAAAGGAGGTCACCATGGTGATCCGCTCGGTCATTCCCAGGGCACGAAGGGCTCGATTTTCGATGTACCGTCCCTGGAGGATTACTGCCGAACCCTGACGGACCTGGTTAAACTTGTATTGTACCCCTTGGGAAAGACGACTTACCATCTGGGGGCCCCGGATCTTGATCGTTTCGCCATTGCCTTTTCTTAGTTCTGTCTCTCCCCCGATCATGTCCTCGCAGTCGGAGAGCATCACCACGCAGACAAAGTGATAGCCGTCAGTGTGCCAATCCACGATCGGATCCTTGTCTTCCCAAGCACTGTCGGAAACATTCTTGCCAGCCTCCGGACTTTTCTTCTCCGTTACCGCTGCGAGAAATTTGCCTTTATCCTCTTCGCTCTGGACGGAAATGTTGATATGTCCTATCTCGTAGTCCATGACGGGAACCAAATCTACGCCGGCAATTTGAGAAACAATAGCGAGAGTCTGGGCATGTTTCCAGGCGTCGTACACAAACGGGGCACACCTGCGATTGTCAGAGCGCGATTCGAAGTGAGTGAAGACATCACAAAACCCACTCTGCAGCATAACCTCTAACTTGGCCCTTGGCAAGATCGCTGGAGCAGTGATACTTGGAGAAGACTTCCTCTCTAAGGGCTTCCTTTCTCATGGCTTGAATGGCCTCGGCAGAGAACATTGGGAAGGGTTCGGAGACTCCAACAGGAGAAATACCACGACGCTCCGGGTACCCGAGCTCGGCCATGGTGTAGACCTTCGAAGGAGGAGTAAAATTGAGATGTTTAGCTGGGTCGAATTCGACAAACTCCGCTTCAGCCAGCTTCTGTGGCTGAGAGGCATGACTCTCCATTCCTGCATCTCCCTCATCGTTGGTGTGAAGATCAATCGCTAGATCCAGAGATGGAGCAGAAGAGAGTGCCTCAGAAGCTGCCATTGCTCTGGTTCTGGATTATCGTCAGTCAACGTCATCTATCATCCATGGACCTGCAACCACTGGCAATAGGCTGTCGAGGGGAACTCACGTCTTCAATACCGATTCCAACCTGAACCACTTCGATTAGAAATGCGAGTACGTAATCCTATAAGCCTAGTCAACCCAGACTGATGTTGTGGATAGGAGAAGAAATAGGATAAGAGAGATTTTAAACTAGCTTGATTACCCGTCAGGCACTTGCGTTGTGTGAATGCTGAGTAGCGGTAATAAGTGATCCTAAGTTATGGCATATATAATTCCTACTATCAGTACATACATTCACTATGAAGTAGTGAATCTCGTGAATAAATAGCTGTTTACTTGGGAATTACGTGCAAGCCTTAGCATAATAATATTCCACTATTGAAATGACTCCCTGCGCTTCTCGCCTAATCGCCCGATTCGGGTGCTGCTGCTTTTATGAGGGCAACACATGTCTGATCATGGCGTGCTCCTGGCGCGCTTCATGCCACTCACTGCTTGATCAATGCTCATGCATCGACTGCTCCGCACACTCCCGGATTGCCCTGAGGCCTCTGGGAGTAAAGCTGGACAGGCTCCTGCTTGTCCCTGATCATTGTTCACATGACCAGGACCGGGCCCTTGAACCATGGCAGACTAAGCTATTCCAATCTATATCTACATATCAGGTGTAAGCTATTACTTTCCTAAAGGCCTTATAAGGGCAAGAGCCAATAGATTTCCCTGCTTATTCCATGATATGTCCAGTTTAGCGTGTTTTAGCTAAATGCGCTCCCAAATGGAAGGCCAACCAGGAAGTAAAGGGAAGACAAGCTTACTCTGATTTTTACCAATAACCATGGATATAACCTTAAACACCATTAAGAGAAAGGTTCCTAATACATATTTGCTCTCCTATCCAGCAGAAATTCAACTACGTCTGCATGTCCTCCCTCTATAGCTGGTAACAGAGGTGTATTGCCGTCTTCATCCTTCGGGTGCATATTATCAACTTTTGCTCCATATTCAAGCAATTTGACCGCCTTGGCGTTTCCTGTGCTCGGAGGCTTCGCAGCTACACAGAGAGTGGTTTGCCTAGCTCGACACAGGGTCGAGATGATCCGGGCAGGGATGTTCGATATGCTCTGTCAGGGCTGGATACAGAAGATCGCAGCGAGTGTTGGTTGGACGCCGGGCCTCGCATTGCTTGAATGTGCGGGCCCTGTCGCTGCATCCGCAGGAGTAGACATAAACCACGAAGTGGCACCTTAATCCTTCGGTATCAGTATGTATCTGCTGTGGTGCAATGTGGGGTGGTATGAATTTATAGCTCACATAGTTGAGGTCTCTACCCCGTAGGATCAACTGAGGAGGATCCGGAAAATATGCCCGGTAGACTGGAATATAAGTCTAGAGGCCCTGTCGGAGAGCGTAGTCATGTCGTCATTACTGGAAAGATAGCAGATGACAAGTGGATGACGAGGGCGTACCTGATGTATCTGACTTGTGAGACCTTAAGCCCTTAACTCGTGGCCTAAGTTTGTCTGTCCGGGAATCATCTGCCCGCTTTTCTACCAGAGATGACCTCAGGTATAGCATACCGGTGCAATAACTTGCATCACGATGTACTTCATTTCTTTCCAGACCCAACAAGGAAACTATACAGAGCTCCACCAAGCAAGGCATCGAAGACCCATCGAAGATCCAAAGCACTGATTACTCGGCTTCCACTGGAAATTCTCCACTTGATATTGCTCAACCTGGACCTGGGCAGCCTGGGGATGCTGCGTCGCGTCGACACCACATCAAGGCACTTAGTAGAATCGCTCCCTGCGTACTGCCTGTTGAGGAAGCATGCACCATACGCGCTACGTCTCATGGATGCTACGAGGTGCTCGTCGCATTTCCCGATCCAGTGGATATTCACAGAGTTCTGCCACCCCTGGTGCCGGACATGTGGCGAATTTGGCCCCTACATTTACCTGCCAACAGTCAGTCGGTCATGCTATAAATGCAATTATCTCCGACCCGAGTATAAAGTAGCACCAGTGACAGATGTTTGCTTGCACTTTGGGCTGACCCAGAAGGACGTCAAATCACTTCCCATCATTGACACCATCTTCACGCCTAAACGCCGTTTAGCTGACGTTACCCAAGCAAAAGCGTTGGGTAAACAGCTACATGGGAGTTACAAGGCGATGAGGCAGCAATACCAGACCAGTCGGAAGGAATTCAAAGAAAACTACCGACACCGGGTTCAGGAGTGGAAAAGACAAAAGCAACAAGGGCCTTCCGCTCGACGCCCTCGCCAATCTATTCCTACTGTACTCGGCGACGACGGAGAGTCAGGCTCGTGGAGAATGCAGGCAACAGTTACATTTCCGTACTGGGATCGCCGTACCCAGACATTGGAGCCGGGCACCTTCTGCCGAGCCTGCACCTATCACTGGGAGGATGGAAATGCGAATGACTGGAGATGCATGGAGACCATATGGGATCTACATCCTCCCGGCCGGGAGGCTTATTTCCGGGCTTTTCTGGCGGCCGAACTACCCCAACATTTTCTACATTGTGCAGCAGTGAAGGCAAACTATAATTTCCGAGAACTTTCACTAACAAGAAAGGAACCTAGGAGAGAAGGAACCGATTTTGTAGTAGCACCGAAGAAGATCATTGCTGGATGAGATTCGTGGTAGTTGTCGGGCTCATCGGAAGTTCGGGTGGCTGTCAATGTAGATTACATCCTTCATCAGAACAGCAGAACACAGTGCTAAAGTGTAGATCTTGGTGGATTGCTGAAGTATATACGGAGTTAAGTTATCTATAAGACGAAGTATCTCCATATGCCAAGACTGTGGGGCCCGGGCCGGATTTTCCTCGGCACCAGTCCATGTATCGTTCGCATGGAGGCTGGATCATCATTATTGAAGATCGCAATTATTCAGATATACTCACAGGTACAAGACCACGAGCATCTCATCTTATTGTGTAGCTCAGCTCTGTGCAAAATAGTCTGTATCCTGAGCCCGAGGCCTTCCATTGATAGGAGAGATGTCATCGCAATCATCCCAAGCCGACCAACAACAGCAGTCATCACAGCCAGGGCAACCCAATGCTTGGGAGAAAGCGGAGCGCAAATTTGCCAAGTAAGCTGATTCCTCCTGTTCTTCGAGATCTCTGTGCCGTCTGTATTTTATTATATTCCCGATAGTTTTGAAGACCTTTGTTGTCCGGTATTCCTCAGAGGGCATGAAATGTATCCAAATCTCGTTGCTTCTGAATTTCACCGGTCTCTGCTTCAGACAATGCTCTCTTGTTTAGCAACTAAGGGACTGACCTTGATACAGTAAACATGCGAGTGAATACTATGACCCATGCCAGGATTTCGCAGATCGAAGTCTCAAGTGCATGAAGCGGAACGCCTTCGACAAAGATATGTGTGGAGACTACTTCCAGTACGTTTATCCATTCTTTCCTGCAAATCTGTGCTGGTATTCAGTTTTGTGAGCTTACACGAGCTAATCTGTTTTCTGAAAGAGCCTATCGTGACTGCAAAAAGGAATGGGTATGTTGAACTAGTTAATGTCTTTCATCAGAGCCAAAAGCCCAGGGGGGAGCAAGGACGGCGCCCAGGGGACCTATGCGATTATCATTCTAACATTAATTCAGTTGACCCAGAAGAAGCTCAACTAGTCACCTTTCCTGGTATCAGGAGAGAGCGGCTCCAGCGCTGCAGGACCACTCTAGAGCTCTGGGATGCAGTATAGCGGGATAATTCCCTCGCCAACAGCCAAACTTCATGGGCCTTGGCATCTATCGGTTTCCTAGGGCAGATATCACTGGTCCTGAACACGCAGGTAATATCTGAAGATCGGATTCGTTCTCTCCAACTCACGGCAGGCGTTGGAGGCCCTATTGGCAGGAACGGATTCGCTGTGGTGCTTGGTTATGCAACTGCGTACCTACTTTACGCTCAGGCGAGACCTCAAGTCTATTTGACGGCAGGCTTGCAAGAGTCTACTATTCCAAATTAGGGGTGTTTAGCCGGAGTTTGTGCTTTGGAGTTCGAGTGAAGATTTTGAACTTGTATATTATCGTGTATTGTACTACTGTGGAATTTATCATAGTTTGTGAAATGGCTGCGCTACAGTTACCTGGGAGCTTGTAAATGGCTCCTTACGTTTATACTGCTTTTCTCAGTGCTGCGCTTCGCGGAGAGCTTGTGCTTCTGAGAGATTTATATAGATAGCATCGTGATGCCGGGAATGAAGACTTATGAAAGCCACCTTTTGTGGATTTTCTCAGAATTACAATAAAGTCGTCCACTAAGTAAAGCAAAGGAGTTAATAGTACAAGAGATTCAATTGACGATCTATAGCAGTAGCAATGAGACATTAGAAGGACAATAGCTTGTCGACTGAGCTCAGCCATCACCGCCTCGGGAGAGTGTCTCCCCGCCAAACATGCGACGATAAGAATTTCCGAGACAACTAATTGATCCTCCCCTCATCTTCCGCTTTCTTCAATTCGATTCCCCGCACATCTGTGCTGTGCTCGGCCGGGCAGCAAACGACCTTGTCTGGTCATTGCCTTGACCTCTATCCCTGTCTACTAGATCTAATCTCAGATTGTTACCATCGGGCTCTCTGATTCAGAATGTCGGCCACCAACGACGCCGTGTTTCATCGGCGGAACAAGCAAATCCAGGATGCCATTGATGGGCAGAACTTGAAGCAGGCTTTACAACTCATCGAGAAGCGCATGAAAAAAGGAGAGGACTCGAGATTTCTCAAGGTAAAACATCCACTACCGCTCTTGGGTTTTATTGGCGCAACCAGTTGTTCCGTTTCACTATTTTGGCTGCTTCCAAGCAATGTGATACAACACTTTCTTGCAGTATAATCCGTGAATGGTAGCTAATTTTTTTTTTTTTGTTCGTGCCCGATAGGCGTGGAAAGCAGAGATCCTATACCGCCATGCGGACGACGCCCATCGCCAGCGCGGCCTCGCCGAAACGCTGGAGCTGTGCAAGTTAGAGCCACCAACGACAGATTTAGACACACTCGAGATCTTGCAGGAGACGCTACAGAAGATAGGCGGTCAAGAGGATACTATGAGAAGCTTGTGGGAGAAGGCTGCCAAAGCAAAACCGCAGGACTTAGAAGTTCAGTTGAGGTGGTTTTCATATGCATTCGAGGGGGACGACTGGAAATCAGCGCAAAAGGTTAGCACTGTGCTTTAACGAAATTACCCGCCTTCCTATAATTGAGTTACCTTTGGACCTAACTGATCTTCGCAGGCGGCTATGAGCCTTCAGAGCAACTTCCCCAAGACGCGGAAATACTATTTCTGGGCCATTTTCCTCAGTTACCTTGTTGCCGTGGACAAGAACAGCTCGGAGGCCGAACAGAGGCTCTTTGGGACGCTGGCTTATCGTATGGCCTCGAAAGCTGCAGACAGCGTCCCTGCTGATCCAGTACGTTCAAGCTTTCCCTTTCCTCTCCGTGTTCAGGCGACTCCCACGCTATGTATCTTCGCGGCTTGATGAAATGATTCTTATACCCGTCACAACAGAAAGAGTTGCTGAGCACTCCCAGAGCTATACAAAACGCCGAGGAGCTTTTACTACTTATCAAGATCTGCGAATCTCAGGGGCGTCACTCGGAGGTTGTGAAGCTCCTTGATAGCCAGAACTTGGGTCTGAGCTCACGGATTGTTCAAAACGATTGGCCTTTCGTTGGAGAGAAGCTCTCTGGCTTGGAGAACGCCGAGATGTGGGCTGAGGGTCTCTCCTACGCGAGGGGCCTTCTGGCGATTCCGACTAATGAATCAGAGGAGAAGACTCTACAAGAGCGCGACGACTGGGCTGTCTGGAGCTTACTTGTTCATTCAGTCCAGAATATCAAGAACACAGAGTAAGTCGACTTTGGAGAAGAGACTCCTGATAGGCTAATAACGGCCATAGAACTACTGCTGAGATCAGGAAGTTCATCGATGAGTTCATCGAGGCTGTTCCCAAATCACGAAACGCACAATTGGCCCGCCTTGACTTGATTCACTGGGGCTTCAAGTCTGGCAACCTAAAGAGCGACGAATTGATCACCGCGTGCCAGGAATACTTTGATCGAAATAAGACCAAACTGTATTGCTTCGTAGACCTTCGGAAATACCTGTCGGATTTGGATAAGGGATCTCTAACGGATTTCATTCAATATGCGTCTCGGGCCGAAGGGATTCAAGGCGATGTATGTCCAATTATGATTGCGATCTACGTCCTTGTTACTAACTCTCTAGATGAAGGAAAACGACCCGCTTAAGGACGTCCCAGCGATCAATGCTCTTAAACTCGAGTACTGCTTCCTGCTTTCGGCTGATGAGGCCAATGCCACACAGCCAAAAGTCGAAGAGTTTGTTTCGCGTTGCCTCCAGATCTTCCGCGGTGCAAAGCGTCCTGAGCGTACCGCAGCCGGCTCGACCATCGAGAGTCAGCCAAGTGATGACCTGTGCTTGCTCGCCGCTATGAGTCTCATTCGATTCAGTGGAGGCTGGATCAATGATAAGCCGGACCAGATCCCGGATACCAGTCTGATTCGCGCAGCGGGTATTCTGAAGCGTCTCTTGCTTGACTCTCCTCATAATTATAACGCGCTTCTGCTGCTCGTTCGGATGTATCTTCGCCTGGGCGCAGGATCCCTGGCTCTTAGGACATTCAGCAAACTATCCGTCAAACAGCTGCAGTATGAAACAGTGGCCCACAATCTTTTTACACGACTAGCAACTATCCACCCCGATTCAGCACCGCCAGTTGAAGGGGCAGAGTACAAGGATTTCCACCCGCAATCTGCATTTGTACAAGCACTCAACTTTTACCGGACTGCGGATGTCACGACAGTTAGGAACAGGACGAATGGGTTGGAATACGGCAGTTATGTGAACGTGGAAGGAACCATTGACCTTCAGAGACGGCTCAAGCACAGTATTTGCCGTAAAATGTGGGCATTAGATGTGAAGCGGATACAGCGGCTAGCTGGAGGCGACAATATGGGCCGGTACAGTGATTTGGGTGAGACTTTCTCATTTCCAGCGGAATATATATTAAGCCAAATGCTAACCTGAACGGCCACTCCAGCAAGAGAGACATCTCCCACGGTAGATCAACGTGCTTTCGATGCGTTTATGAACTGTGAAGCACCGGGCCAGACTACCTTTGAGGAGCGAGTGCGCTTGGGACCTCTGCCTAAGGTGAGTCTTCTTGTCTCTGAATAGAATGTGACTAATGTAGTTTAGGAACGTTGGGTGAAATCGGCTCAGTTGACAGATCAACTGTTCGACCTCTTGAAGAACCTTGCTGCTCAGAAACCGGTGTCTTCAGATTTTGATGTGCCTAGCCTGGATGATCTTCTGAGCTCAGACGCCGAGTCCGAGATGACCGCTCCTGAAATAGAGAGCGTCAAGCTACATCTGAACCTCCTTAAAATGGCGAAGCTTCTCAGCGGATCAAAGTCTGTCAGTTCAGAAGAGGTTGATACCTGCCTATCGCAAGTGGAGCAGTGGCTCGAGTTCACGTCGAAGGACTTTGCCTTGGACAGCGCGAAACTCTCCCCAGTTATGTCGAGAACTGCAGTGTACTTGAAATCCGGAACTCCCTCGGCTCCATCATGGAAATATTTACATGACGCTTTCCTCGTTCTCGAGTCGCTCAAGGCGTTGTCATTCACATATACCATCGCATCAAAGAAGGGTTCCAAGACAGCAAAGCTTCCCAAGGACCGTGTCGAAAAATTGGCCGGCCTGATTGAGGAAGTGTATGAAAGCGTAAGGGCAAATATTCGTGCTCTCAAGTCGCGAGTCTCCGAGCCAGGCATGCTTGGCTCCCTGGTCGACCTCGTTCTGGCTGGTGGTCAGCAACTTCGGACCGAGCTCGAGAAGACGCTTGACATGCCAGCATTGGAACTTGTCTGTGGTGAGCTAATGGAAAGCTGGGAGGAAAGCCTGAATGGAGCGCTCTCTGTGAAGTTGTGACAAGCTGTGATGATTGGGTGACGGTAATCCAGAGACGAAGAACTCGAACTGAATTTTAGATATATGTGTATATACCGATTCTATACAGATAGAAATACCTCTTCATAGAAATCGAATGGACTAACCACCCTGCCATGGATGATGAAGCACAAACACGTGTGGTAGCCTTCGACGGTGAGCAATGATACATTGCCTCTTCAGCTCAACGGTCTCTTTGTGACTGTTAGCACGTGCATCAAACAATCAAACCACAACCACTGTGCCACAGATATAGCCTTCCACCGTCCTACAGTCCAGTCCCCAAGTTCTCATCAAGCAACGACCTCAGATGTGCTAGTACGCATGGCACTTTATAATCACACTCTGGGCGAGATAATCCTCATCGAAAGACTACATTCTCGAATCTCATCAACATGTCCATTTGCACCAGGATGCTAATCCCTTACATTCCTGCATCCTCATGGCCAGAAGTTTGATACGCGAGTCATCTCTCCTCCACCAGTTCCGAATCCACTCAGAATACGGGCCAGTAACACAAAGACCACCTCGAGGGTTACACAACCGGATCAGCTCCATTCCTGAATCCTTGTCCTTCCATCAAATACGAGCCTTGAATTAGGATAATAGGGTTATTTGCCAGTCTCCACGCGCAGATCAAGGCTTTATATCGATCCGTTCTATTTCTGTGCCACAGGGTTCCTAATTCGGTTGTACCAGGCATTCTTCGTCGTGTGTGATGGCGAAGCCGTAAGCTTATGGACCGTAGTGTATGCAGGTAATCGCACCACAAGTGTGAGTTTGATCGTCCTCTTGGCTGCCATGGGCGCATGCTGGATGCTACATCAGCAGCTGGTGGTGTTCGGTGCCGTCGCAACGGATCATTTGCTGCTGCGGATTACAAGGCTCTTGGTGCTTGTTCTCTCCTGGATCTTGACTTGTACTTGCAGAGCGAAAAATGGACCCCATGGACGCTACATCTACTCTGTAGAATTGCTGATGCCCTTGTCTTGATCTCGCATACAGTTTGTCGGCACTGTCCTTGACGCTGGGATTGCTCCTACAAAGAAACCTATCTAACAGGGCGTAATGACTGTTCCTGACGGTATGCAAACCTCTGCAAGCGAAGTTCATAGATATGTCTACCGAGATTCGGTGCGCTACTGGAACGTCGTCACGCAAGCGACATGCCTCGCTATAAGTACAGTTCTTGTCTGGATGCGGATGTATTCGAAATTACTTATCACTAAAGCACCAGGATGGGAAGATTGTACGTGAAATCCCAGCATGAGGATCATTATTCAAGATATCAAGCGCTGAGACAGTGGCCCCATAGTTTGCTGCGTTCTCGCCTGGGTATGGCTCACTTCTATGACTTGAATAATGAGTCACTCATAAACACCAGCTTGGACTGTTAGCATACGTCGTGATCACATTCGAGGCTGACAAATACGGCAATGGAATTCATATATGGGAAGTGGATGAATCTGATCTGCGGGAATATAGCAAGGTGAGTGAGCGCCTTGCACCCGGGTCTAGTATGTTCGCTGATGAGGTTCAGTGGGCAAATACCTCGCAGATAGTCTATGGCCCTCTGATCTTCATCACCAAACTATCAATCCTTCTGCTTTACTTACGCGTATTTGCTCCCTCCTTCAGAAGCAAGACCTTCTTCTGCATCCACGCGCTTATCTGGCTCAACTTGGGGTTCTACTTTGCAGACACGATCGTGAAGATATTCGAATGCTCGCCTCGAGCGAAGATCTGGGATAAGACCCTCAAAGGGCACTGTATCAACATCAATATCCCCATCATTGTGACTTCCTCAATCAATGTGGCGTCAGACTTCCTGATACTGGTTTTGCCTATTGTGAGTGTGTGGCGCTTGCAAATGAGAAACCCCAAGAGATGGGGCACATCAGCGATTTTCGCTGCTGGCATCTTGTGAGAATCACCTTTGTTACTCGGTGACCATGAGTATCTTCTCGGACTGACCAACATAATTGCACATAGCGCTTGTATGTGCAGTATCATGCGCCTTGTGGTCAGTGTACAGAACAAAACCGTCAAGGACAAAACCTACGACTGGTTCCCAGAATTCTTATGGACGTAAGGCAATTTCCACGGACGTCGGTCATTATGTCTTTAATTTATGATCAATTTGCTGACAGTGTTGTCTTTGTTCTTCAATGAAGGTCTGCCGAGGTCACCTCCGGAATCATAGCCAGCTGTATGCCGGCTTTACCAACCTTCTTCAGACACTTCATCAAGCGAGCACGTGCCCTAATCTTGAGCGCAAGCACCAGCTATTCGTCCCGCTCGGCAAAGAAAGCGATGGAAGTAAACAGTTGGCCCACCAGCTGGTCCGTACGTCAAAAGAAACAATCGAGCGGCGGCCTTAGCATGACCGAGCTCTGCCGGGGCACCAACTGCGAGCTAGATGATACTGAGCAACAGCATGAGGAGCACACAGGACGTATCTTCTCAGGGGCCAGTTACACGACTGCCGGTACTCAAGGGGGTATACTTGAACTTCCAAACGTGGCGTCGGACAGTTATACATTCGACAATCGAGGCGCTGGACATGGGTTTGACTATCGTACGGGGATTCTAAAGACAGTTGAGGTGGATGTTGCGTCTCAGCGAGTATGAGGCATCTTATATATTCCCGCAATTTCTTTCGCTTTCAAGGTTATGAGTGCGTCAACATTCAGTAGAAGACGAATAATACATCATGCGTACACAGGGCAGATGAAGAAGCATACCTTCCCGAAATGGTAAAGCATAAGCTCTTATCCTGGTACGGCAAGTCCCCATGCGGGCAAGCGCGAAGGTACAAATATAGGTCAACCACCCTAGCCCTAAGCCCTAACCGCTCGCCTACGCACCAACGCGGGCGACCAACCAAAACTTTGCAAACTCCATTGCGATTCTATCCGCACCGACGACCGTCGACTCGACAACTTCCTTCCAGCAACCACCGTCGTCGCCAAACCCCAGTCACAACCGTCGAGATGGCGCAGGAACGTTCCGGAATCGTGGTCGGTCTGAACAAGGGCCACGTACGTTGAATCCCTCTCCCGTTTCCCTAAGAAAAAGAATGTTTCCCGTCGGTATTTGTCCAGTCGGTCTCGAGAAATTTGGATTGAGGATACGGAACATAAATACGGAGGGGACATATTGTTGGATTGTCAAAAGGCGCAATTTCTTATTGAGATGGTGGAAATGGAACGACAACGGACGTACCAATCGAATTTATTGGGCCCGACTTGACAGAAATTGACCGGAAGCATTTGACCTTGGTTTATAAGGAATAAGGAACAATCAGTGAAGCTGACTTGGGTTCCCATTGATAGAAAACCACCCCTCTGAACACCCCCAAGACCCGGGTCAGCCGCACCAAGGGCCAGTCTTCCCGCCGCACTGCCTTCGTCCGTGACATCGCCCGCGAGGTTGTCGGTCTTGCCCCTTATGAGCGTCGTATCATCGAACTTCTGAGAAACACTCAGGACAAGAGAGCTCGTAAGCTCGCCAAGAAGAGGGTATGTCACGAGTTCTGGATATTGGTCTTCACGGGTGTTCCTTTGCTCGCTTCCCTGGAATGTCAATCGTACGGTGTCTGCTCTTCGAAGTACAATTTGATTAAGCATACGGCAACTGTCAATTGGACACTACGCCCTCCGTGAATCTAGCCATTCGAGTACAGACATCACCGACCAACGACTTGTGGAGCGAGCTTGGGGAACACTTTGTTGAGAACTTTCGCACTCATTCATAAACAATGCTAACGAATGATCTTTTATAGCTCGGTACCTTCTCCCGTGGCAAGAGAAAGGTTGAGGACATGCAGAGAGTCATCGCCGAGTCCAGACGTGTGGCTGGTCACTAAATTCGTTTTTCCTTCCTCTGAAAATGTGTTTATTATCGCCAGAGAACGAGATAACGAAATTTAAGTGAAATCGTTTCGGTTGCTGAGTTGGCGCATGGAACCAGGAATTGTTGTCCGTAACATTCAATCCGTCAAAAAGGCCCAATGGAAGGGACAGAATCATGATGCAATAAGCATGGACTAAATACCAAAATGGATCTCTTGAATCTAATGCAACTGGGAGTTTTTCGGGCTGGTCTTACGGCCTCGGTGACTTTGAACCTAACACTACTTTTATTCTATCGAAACACTTTCTCTGATGGATTCACCTATCACGCGGATACAATTCTTTGCCAATACTCTGTGTCTCTTATCGCTCGCAGCGAATGCCTTGCGGGAATTCCGTGATGTCCTTATCTTCTACCGTCATCATCTATGCATTCGACTCCCATGGTACCAAGTTGATGGCTAAAGTCGAGTATTGCGAGCATGCCCGTAGATAGATCGTAGCCATTGGTCATTCTAAAATACACAATGTGATTTTGGTCATTCTAAATACACAATGTGATTTCACGCTAATAACAAAATGCCATTTCAGATTCTCATTTCTTTCCAGGCAGTTTCAACCACTTGGGTATCCCGCCAGGTTTGCGTCCTCCAGACTTCTCTCCATCGCGGTCGCCGAGTCCGCCTACCTTTGCAGGCAGAGTATCCTGTGAAATATCCATCAACTCTGGCGGCTGCTGGACCTTGAGCTCCTGAGCTTGGTTCCGGAGCTCAGGCTTCAGCAGACTTGCTCTGGTTGATCGAGCGGCGGGAGACGCACTTACGTCCCAAGAGAAGGTGACGAGGACCCGACCGATCATGCCCAGATCCTTGATCAAGAACGTCTGGTCTGTATCAGGAATGATACTCTGAATCTTCTTCGCACCTAAACCCGGGGCCCCAGCAGGGAAGGACGTGAGTATGAATCTCTCGCTGGCAAATTGCTCCGACAAACAACTTCTTACGAAGCCGTAGAGCGTTGCGCCGGTATCTTGTTGCCCGAACTTTGAGACAATCTGGCTCTGGTCCGGAAGGCGGACCTTGACGTCGACTTCTCTGACCGCAGCACGCTTCTCTTCCTCCTCTGCTGCTTTGGCTGCGATTTCTGCATCCGTGGGAAGACGGATGGGCCTGGAAGCGGCATTGAGACGGCGCTGGTGGGCTTGTGCTTGGTCCACAGATGGAATGTAGTCGTCTTCATTATATGTCATTTGGGCGGCCTGCGGAGTGGTGTTTGACGGTGCTGAGAAGACTGTGACTGGTCGCGAAGAGGGCTGGATCACAGCAGATGGTTCGGTAGAGGCGATGGAGGGATGAGAAACAGGTTCCGGTACTTGTGCTGATGGCGCAGGTGTCGCCGCTGCTGCTGCTGCATCCAGAGGCTCAGCATGTTCAGCACTCGGCACTTGTTGTAGAGGTTGGCTTTCAGTAATAGTCTTAGGTTGTGCTGGCGCAGCGGCCGCGTCTTGTGGTTCCAGGGCAGCATCCTCAAACGCTTTGAAGTAATCTTGAATCTTAACCATAGCTACCTCAAGAGGTTCCTCTGTCCGGCGGAAACTTAATCTGACCAGGACATTCCCACTATTGAAACCAAGCTGTGCTAACGACTTCTGAAGAGCTTCGAATGTCGACAGTTCTCGCCCCATGATCTGAACTACCGGTGTCTCGTAAAATAAGCGTCCAGATCCCTCGTTACCGGCACTGGCGACTGGGACGCCTCGCCCAGTGAAATTTCGTGTCGGTCCGCCACCTGCAACACCCGCCTCAAACTTCCGCAGCACTAGCCATAACGTTGTTGTGCTGGGGAACTTGTCTAGGAGCCGTCCGTTGGGAACACCTCGAGCTTCTGCCTCGGGCAGTTGTAAAGCGACCGTGACAATGGAAGGCGATCGGGAGAGCTGTACTAATTCAAGTTTCGCACCGGAAGCCAGGCCGGAGAGACGGAAGACCAAAGAAAGATCGAGCTGTTTGCCCTTGTACCTTTCCAAGTATTAGAGTCGGTTCATTGCTTCATCACCCGCTTAGGTCACTTACTTGAGGCCGTACTGGCTCGCATTCAAGCCGAGCTTAGCGCATGCTTCTTGCAGGATATCCGTCAAATGTTTCCCAGGTGTTGTTTTGATTGTGGCTCTTCGAGCAGTCGAGTCTAGAACGACGACATGCGAGCTCATGATTTGAAGGCGATCGCTTGCTTGAATGATATTATTATTGCGGGGCAACTATGGAGGAAGATGGCAGTTGGGGGCTTCAGAATGAGATGAAAAGAGAAGTTGACGAAACCAGATGTTCTATATCTGAATACGAAGAGATTTGTAGAGGAATAAGATAGAAGTTTGAAGAAAGAGGAGGGCATGAGACAATCAATATTCATCTACCTATGGAGTACTTTCGACGGTTCCCGTAGGCAGCGGGCGCAGCGTCATCCGCACCGAAGCTCTCGGCGGCTCTCACGCGTTGGACCAAGCAGCAGAGCTTCCCCATCATTTATCATCTTTCTCCATCATCGGCTTCACCTTCATCCTCACCTCGAATCCATTCTCCTCCTTTCACCACTTCTTTGTCTCCTTCAATTTAATTCTCTCAGATCTCATTCAGCTTGCAATTTCTCGACATACCTAATTCAACATGGTAAGTTGAGCTTACCCTTCGTAACCTGACCGACTTGAGCTGACCAAACCCAACCTACAGAGCTCTCCCTTCGATATCAGTACGCACTTTTCCCGATCTTTATCGTGATCTCACGTCCAAGAGACTGACAGTGTCTTCTTTAGATGGCGGAGCTTGTGTCGCCATGGTGGGCAAGGACTGCGTTGCAATTGCCTGCGACCTGCGACTGGGCATGCAGGCCTTGACCGTCTCCAACAACTTCCCCAAGATTTTCAACTACGGTCCCTCGACTTACCTCGGTTTGACTGGCCTGGCCACGGACGTCAACACTGTCTCAGACCTCTTTCGCTACAAGGTGAACATGTACCGACTCCGCGAAGAACGGAACATTGCGCCGCAGACTCTGGCCAACCTGGTCAGTTCATCGCTGTATGAGAGACGGTTTGGGCCCTTCTTCGTGAGCCCTGTCATTGCTGGCGTCAACAGCACGACGGGTAAGCCTTTTATTTGCGGGTTCGACAGTATCGGATGCATCGATTTCGCCAAGGATTTCATTGTCAGTGGTACGGCGAGCGACCAGCTTTTCGGTACATGTGAGGGTTTGTGGGAGCCAGATCTGGTACGTTTCCTGGTTCAGCCATATTGCGAGATGGTTCCGCTAACGTTCGATTTCACCTTCCTTAGTCCCCTGAAGATTTGTTCGAGACCATTTCTCAAGCCCTTCTCAGTGCAGTTGACAGAGATGCCCTTTCCGGTTGGGGTGCTCAAGTATACATCATAGAGAAAGACAAGGTGACGAAGCGGCTACTCAAGGGAAGACAAGATTAGATGTTCTGTGTTTGGCCCGCATTCCGTTTATTTTCGTTTAATGCCATCTCTCAATCATATCCTGGTCGAAACACACCTACTGGTTGGAAGTAGTCGGTGTTGTCTCATATATGCCTTAAATCCTACATACTGTCGGTTGATGGGGGAATCAAGAGCACAGCGATGTCTGTCCATGTACCTCTAGCTCTGAAGCATCAGCCTGACACGGACCTGAATTGGCAAGGGCAGAAGACTGCTTTACGGCCTTGATGACTATTTCTTCATGAACCCGAATATAGGCCTCCGCCTTTAGTAGCCATTCTTTCCAGTTACGGCGGCATACGCCTGGCCACCCTTCCCCAGGAAGCTTCTCACATCAGCAGCGAGCAGCTCCGGTACTTCCCACGCGGCAAAATGACCACCACATTCAAACTCACTTTCCCGCACCACCGAGCCCATGCTCCGGCACCACAAAAAAGGTAACTTGACCAACTCTCGTTTGAAATGAGCCACGGCCAACTTGACCTCCGCAGGGATGGACGCGGAGATTGCATCTGCAGTCGAAACCCTCTTCAACGTCGACGCTGGCGCACCAGCAGGCGACGTCTGCGCAGCCTCGTAGTAGATCCGAACCGAAGCCGCGGGACCCGCGACCGAGAACTGGTAGACGCTCACCCACGTGAGAATCTCATCGTCCGTCCAGGGATAGTCGTCCGCCCAGGCGTGTAACTTGTCGTACATCCAAGCCAGTAGGGCGACGGGACTGTCCCGTAGCCCGTAGCCCAGCGTCTGGGGGCGAGTTTCCTGCTGGCGCATGTAGGCATTTCCCCGGTTCAGATAGTCGAGGGTGGTTGAGATGAGAGCCCTGCTTTTGGGTGAGAAGGGGAGAGTCAGGATTGATTGCAGAAAGATCCACGGGTGGCGCCATGGGTAGGGAGGAGCCACGGGGGCGAAGTTGAGATGGACGGCTTTGATGTGCTGGGGATAGAGCGTTGCCATGACGCGGGCGATGATGCTACCCCAGTCTCCTCCTTGGATGACTGTCGCTCGTCAATAGTGTTATTGGGATATTTATACGAAGCGTACCGTATTCCTCGTAGCCTAGATTCAGCATGAGAGAATGCATCGCTTGAGCATATTGCGCCAGACCGAAGCCTCTCTAACATAGACATGGCCGGTCAGCAGGGCAGTGCAGCATGTCCTGATGGCACAACTTGGACAGACCTGTTTCACGCCCTGGGAGAAGCCAAAGTTCGGCAGCGAAGGCACCACCAGTTCGAAAGCCGGCCGATCCTTGTCGCCTTTCGTCAAGAGCGGTATCAGCTTGACAGCCTCAAGGAAGCTTCCTGGCCCTAGGTATTGTGTACCAGTCAACACCTTCATCTACAAAACTAACCGCCCATATGGTACATTACAGCCGTGTAGGAAGAGTAGCGGGATAGCACCCGGCGTAGGACTCTTCTGGTGCACGCAATGAATATCGAGCTGCGCAAACCCCGGAACAGAGACAGAGACCATGAGCTGATGCAGGTTTTCGTTCAACTCCTTCTCCTTTGCGCGCC